CTACTTGGTATTGGTATGCAGCACCACTTGTACCCAAAATCTACTTGTACTTAATCTAGAAGAAAAAAGTATTGGGACACTCCGAGGTTAATAATCAGAAATCATGAAAACAAAGAAACATGATTAAAAAGTCGTGTTCTTTTTCTTTTTTGTTACCAAGTCTTGACTGGAAAAAGAAGCTATTTTAGAAAGAAGTTTAACGCATTTAAAATATATATATTTATGCAGCTGCATAGACCAAAACAATGCTCTTCTTTCATTCTTTTTAAAAACAACTTTAATTTTGATAAACTAAAACAAATGGTCGATGAAGCAAGTGGAATTCTGATTTAATACAAATGACTAATATTTAAACTTGTACTGGATTTAATGCACATAGACTTTCTCAGGTTCTGCAGCTTCTTCAAAGATCTTGTTTTCTGCTTCTTAGACCCCCTTTATTAAGTCCATAATTGGTTTACAAGTCATTAAATCCTTAAGACTTTTAGTCTAATACCAGAAATATTGACCTAAACTACATGTCTCAGTTAGGAGAAAAAGTACACAGAATAACTACTTCATCAGATGGAACCAGTTAGATCATAGATGATTTTATTGAACCTAAAAGTCAAAATGATGCGTTCAGTGTTCCACAATGTTGTTTTTTTAAACCTTATTTTTAATGTGCAAAGTGTGTTAAGAAAAACAAAGTAAGGTATTTAAACTGCCATTCTCCTTGCATATTTTACTTCATATATGTAAGCTTTGCTGTAATGGACTAATAAGATCAGGCAAAACTGATTTAATTCTACACCTKCGCATGTTGTTTTGAGACTTACATGAAAAGCACAAGCTGGATGACAGGCGCCCCCCTCAAAAGCTCACTGAAGGAGTTGACAAAGAGGTCGTAGGCCAACAGGACCAGTTGGATCAGAAGAACCAGCGAGTAGTTTCCAGTCTGGAGCATCTTCAGGAACAAGCTTCACAGTTCTCTTTTCCTTTTGGCTGATTTTCTTTTCTGGCTTCAGGTGATGATGCAGATCTGTATCCGTTTCATCCACCTACATTCTTTGACATAAACAGTCCATCCATGTAATATTACACTCCTTGCGATTCTTGATTTTGGTTGGTTTTCCTGTCAAGAAACATATCTTTCRTTGTCCAAGATKAAGTGYGAAGGCTGAAAATCCATCCAAAAACTCATAATAGTTGCTGTCATATGCTGCGTGATGGAGGCATCCTTGGTGTTAAAAACCTCTCTGACTGCAGCATCACCTGCGAGGGGAAAACAAAGCAGTGGTTGTGAAACATTGTTGAGCAACGAGGMTAAACACACATAACATCTCAGTTCTGCGGTCATCTCCAGGGCTACGAGTTCAAGTAACTTATCCTCCGTGTCAGACAGCTAAATTAGTAGTAAACCCATCCGTGTAAGGTCAACATGTTCACACAGGCAGACGTGCAAAGGTTGGAGCTGGGATTATAGATGTGACCCCCACCCCCACCAGCCATAGTTACCCAGACATCACAATCTTTTGTTTTGCTGTCGGGCTGCACTCTCTTCTGACTTATCCAACCCCCTGGTGACGATTGTCTCAGCGTAATTTATATTTAAATCGGGTTGTGGATCATCTTGAAGGCTCTTTTTCACAGGGGGCACAGATTTGAACACACCAGTCCATTGTTTAACCGCGCTTTACTGTTATAAAACCCGGCTGAACTACGTCATACTCACCGGAAACAAACGCTTGAAGGAAATAAMTTATACCGAACCGCAATAAAACGCTAAAATGAAATCATTTATACYTTTATCTACTTCCAAAAAAAGGCTACCCGCTCAAAGCATCCACGGCTGTTTTTCAGCAGTAACGTATGTATTTCCGTATTTCCATGGTTACGCTGCAATTTTACCGTAAAAACGAAAATTATTTTGGCCTGAATGTGCCGCGGACACAGCCCTCAAAGGATATCGGTAATATATGACTTTATATCTTTAATAACTTCATTTCAAATTAAACCAAATTGAAATCAAAGCATATTTTTAGAAATTTTTATCAGTTCGGTGCGGCTGATTTTTCGTTTCCACGCTACACTAAATATTATGGTAAAATCTCTCTCTCTCTCTCTCTCTCTCTCTCTCTCTCTCTCTCTCTCTCTCTCTCTCTCT